AGGATCTGTTACCAGGCGTTGGGATTCTAGAGGTGGCTCCTACGAGTTCAAGAGGTGGCTCCCGTCCTATGGCGTAGCACTTTGTCCCGCATAGCACTTAGTTCCCGATTTCCGACTGGCAAACGGCTCTGATACCATTTGGAACGACCCAGGTCCTACTTAACGGGCTGTCCTGGCCGTTAGATCGACGACGTACTGTCCTCACTGTACCAACACAGGTCTTTGCAGCATGCTTTGTCCTCACTCGCACGCTCCCCGAGAAAACTTCACAGGGGGTCACCCATCATAGAATTGCTCCAAGCCAAACACGCTTAACTGTGGAGTTTCTAACGATGGATTTTCGGAAAAGAAGGTGCACCTTGTGGTATGAGTAGTACCTATCAAATCTCTTAAGAAAGTTTGCCCAATACTGCCTTGTTAAATTGCCCAATACTTCGCCCCAATGATTTTTCTCCAAGGATTTTCCCTCTCCACTCCAAACCGCCACTACCATTTGCCCAATACTGCCTTGTTAAATAAAATAAGGCTCTTCAATCCGATGCCTCCCATCCTCATAGGAAACAGTGACAAAAAATAACTAGGGATATTTAATAGGTAGAGTAAGCGGCCTCCCTTCGAGAGATACATACACTTCCACCCTACTAACCTCCTTTCCACCTTTCCACAATAGCATTTCAAATATTAATACTTTTAAACCGTGCCCCTAAAGGGAGTCCAAGATATAACATAGATAATTGTACAACCCTACAACCTAATGTAACAGCTAGTTCCTCTACGTTAGTGACCTCCTCTACTGGAATAACCTCAGATTTCCCCAGATTTATCTTTAGTCCAGATATAGCTTCAAAGCATAGGAGCAATCGGCATAAGTTCATGAATTACTCCTCATCTGCATCACATAAAATCAGTGTCATCAACAAATAGCAGATGGGACACCGACAGTTGACCAACCGTAAAACCCTTTATCAAATTCTCCCGCCTCGTTTTCTCGAGCATCCTAGTGAGCCTCCATTACAATAACAAACAGTAATGGAGACAATGGTCACCTTGCCTCAATCCTCTATGCTCCAAAAATAACCCTCTGGGGTACCGTTAACTAGAACTGAGAATGAAACAGTAAAGATACTGAACTGAATCCACTTACACCATTTATTCCCAAATCCACATAGCTTAAGCATATACAGGATGAACCTCCAGTTCACGTGATCATAAGTCTTCTGAATATTAAGCTTGCATAGCATCCCTGGAACCCCTAGGCGCAGTTTTGAGTCAATGCATTCATTCGCTATTAGTACAGAATCCAATATCTGCTGACCTTTCACGACGGCATTTTAGAACTTAGACACTACTTTCCCTAGCACCTCATTGAGTCTATTTGCCAAGACTTTCGCAATAATCTTGTACTCCCCACTGACTGAGCTAATTGGGCGAAAATCCTTAATATCGGTCGCTCTCGATTTCTTAGGTATCAGCACGATAAATTTTGTATTAGAACTTCTCAGAAACGTGCCACACTAAAAAAAGTAAGTGAAAACATCAATAATATCCTATCGCACCACCTCCAAACACGTCTTATAAAATGAGAATGAGAAACCATCTAGTTCTGGAGCCTTATAAATATTTATATTAAAACCACCTGCTTAATTTCATCCTCCCCAAATGGTCTCTTCAACCAATTGACATCCTCCTCCGTAATGGTAGAAAACTCCAATCCTTCAAACTCTGGCGTCCACTCAAACTGTTCCCGATATAGATTCTGATAGAATCTCACCATATGAGTCCCAATATCCCCTGAATCCTCATAAGTAACCCCATCTACCTCCAACACTGTGACATAATTGTAACACCTATTAGAATTGGCGATCCTATGGAAAAACTTAGTGCATTTGTTCCTCCTCTTTCAACCACGTGACTCTAGATTTCTGGCGCCAAGCAATCTCCTCCATTTCCACCACACTCACTAGCTCTGCCCTTAATACTCGACGTCTCTCCTTCTCCTCCCCATCCACCCCTCGCCTCTCCTCTAGCTTATCCCGCTCTTCTATGTCTGTCCAAGCAATCTCCTCCATTTCCACCAACCTCACTATCTCTTCCCTTAATACTTTACGTCTCTCCTTCTCCTCCCTATCCAACCCTAGACTTTCCTCAAGCTTATCCAGCTCTTTAATGTCTGAAAGACACTGGACTTTACGAAAGTTTACATTGCTCACCACCTCCTCGTTCTACCTCTTTAAATCCCTTTTTAGTGCCTTCAACTTTTGATCCAACACATAACTGGGAAACCTCGGGAAATCATAAGAAGTCCACCAAGTCCGTACACGCTCCCCAAAGCCTTCCCCTTTTAACTGCATCTTCTCAAAACTAAAAGGCCTTATTCCACTACCCCTAGTAGTCCCAGCTAAAAAAAGAGGAAAATGATCAGAGTACCCCTCTCCAATCTCCTTTGAATACTTAGCATCCCACTCTCCGCTAACCAAGAACCGATCTATACGAGATAGAACAGGTTGATCCCGATTAGATGACCAAGTAAATTCTCCCCCAATCATAGGCATATCCACCAACATATTCTCCCTAATAAAATCTGAATATTCCTCCATAGCCCCAGTTAGTTCCCCGCCACTCGACCTTTTAGTAGAAAATCGAACCACGTTAAAATCACCCCCAATGCACGTTGGAGATTCCACCAAGCCAACATACCAGTCAAGTCATCCCACAAACCCTCTCTACTCATCGAAATTAGGTCCATAAACTCCTATAAACATCCAATGGAATCCATCTCCAATATTTTTAAACGAAAGTGATAGCGCGTGTAACCCTACACTAACGTCCTCTATATCATAAACTCTAGTGTCCCACATGATAAGCATACATCCTCATGCCCTCGATGACCCAAAAAATTGATATCCTACATGCTGTCCCCCCATAAGCTACTAATCACAGCCCTCGATACGAACTTCAATTTAGTTTCTTGCAGACAAACAAGGTTCGCCACCCTTAGCATCATAATTAACAGACCATTCGAGCCGCTTAATTTTGCGAACACCCTTCATTCTTGCTTTGCCTACTTGTGTGCTCAGCCCCGGCCCCCTACTAGCCTCCAGTTCTTCAAACAATTGCATGAGTCTACTTTCATATCCATCGCAAGACACACCAACCACCTTACTAAAATCTTGAATTTTTTGAAGGAACCATAAACTTCCAACCCCAGGTCGAAGAATCGCATTCACCTTCATTGTTTCCTCTGCATGACAACACTCTAAAAGGTCATACGAATATCCCTCCGCTTCCTCCACCTGTACAACATCATTGTCGGTCCCCCCTTATAGCCGTCATTTGCCCACAATACCAGAACTTTTTAAGTCCCTAATTCTTTTTCTTTTAAGGAATTAACGTGCCTTTTGTTGTATGTGTTCCCAACCATAACTGCTGCTGGCCACATTGTGCTCTTTCAGGACTCCCAAAGCGGGATTTTCTTCCAATACATGTACCATCTCCTTGATCCCATCATCATTAGCTACGAACCCCGAAGCTTTCTCATCCGTATCCAACTCCACCACTTCGATCTCATCATCATTTCCGGAATATACTGCTTCGGTCCGTGCTTGATACTTGCAATTAGGCTTAGTCATCCCCTGCTTGTCTTTAATATGTGCTACATTCGGTGATACCTCTTTAGGAACCAAGCTTGCTAATTGTTCTTCGTTAGCTAGAGGCTCATCCACACCAACCCCACATTGATGACAATATAATATCCTAGGGCTCGCCTCAAACCCATATCCCACTAGCGTGATTAACTCATCAAACTCTTCTTTCATCGCCTAAACGCGGTCCTTTATTTCAGCGCTGTTCAATATTCCACCATGTGAGCCTTCTGAATGTGTCTCCATAGGCTTGGCACTGTACTATGATCGTTATCCTCCCTCACATTATACGTCCTGTCATTTTGCACTAGCCCCCGTCGATCAACTTTATACAATGTCCGTAAGTTTGTCGTAACTTCGGCATAAGTCATCCCTCGTCGATGTCTTTCATCCATCGTTCGACATTTAGCCTTATCTCCGGCTACCAATGAATCTACAACAGCCTTAAACACCCACGAAAACGATGCCCATCCCTCTCTATTCACCCCTTCCGGCACCATCACAGCTACCGTCCGACGCCTCTCTCTATACTGTGCTATCGTTAAGTACATAGCACGTCTGTTCGCTCAACGTTGTGCGAAGAAAGGTCTTGATGACTCATTAAACTTGGAGACAAAATCCTCCAACTTACTATCCACTCTAAATTTATCCAACAAATTCACCATCCAAAGTACACCAAACCTCCCCATTTAGATTGTGGACGACATCCTCGAGCCTCACTCAATTATCCTAATAGTACCTATTTCGTTAACAGACACCACAAACTCCCTTGCCTCGACTCTAAATCACTGATTGAATAACACAACATGTACTTCCGCCCACTTTTTCCTTTGAATGTGTATAAACAGCATATCTGATGATAAAATAGGCTTACTGGGTAATCTAGAAATGCCGTGCTGATTTTTCAAGTTTTTCGGCTGCCACGCGCCCGCAAATTCGCAGCCAGAGCAGCGGCGGCGCGTGGCCCACGCGACAAGCCCTACGCCGTCGAAAAATGTCTGCACAGTCCACCGATTAGGCGTGTCTGCCGAAAAATTGGCCCGATTGTGGTAAATCTGGGTTTGGAACCCAGGTCACTCCACTATATTAAGCTTCCCTTCGCCATGGTTGTCGTCGCCAGAGGTCCCCACATCACCCCAGATCATCTCGCCACTGATTGTTGCACTTGTTCGAGCGGCGGTGCTAGGGTTTCCACCTAAGGCCGTTGCTTGTGAGTGTAGATATTGGCCGGATTGGCCATGGGTATGTGGCGTGAGACCGGTAGGGAGAGTTTTGCCAATCGATACCTTATTGCCATTGCCGGCGTCGACCGGAATACGTGGTTGTTGGGTGGTAGGTGGTTGGGTAAGTGGTGGTTGAATATTTCTGGATATTAAGGGAAAGGGCTCCATTTTCAAATCAGAGCATGTGTCAATATATGTTATCGGTGCCTTAACCCTGGTAGTGTTGTTAAATGCATATAGCTTTGGTCCTCTGAAATTTGTGGATAAAAGTTGTAGGTCTTATGGAATGTAATGATAAGATAGAGTTTGACCAATTTATAAGCACTTGCAAAGTTTACCAAACATGCACTTCATATTTGAGTGACTTATAAATTTGTCGTCATTGGAGAAGTCCGATTGAATTGATAGCATAAGATTTTCTCTATCAATTTGTTCATTTTACGTTAGCATAACCAGTGGTTCATTGTATTTATATGCACGTGTTAATTTTTATTAAAAAGGCTATCATACTGAGTGCTGATTCTAGGCCTCCATCAGACTGCATATATAATATGCTGAGATACTTCACAAGGAACTTTCTAAGAATTTTATGCAATGTATATAATATGCTGAGATCAAATGCAACAATGGCAGAAACATTGGGTGTTGCTATTTTGTTTTCTTCTGCGGTTCCTTAATATAAGTTTTACTATGTCTAGACAAACATTTAGGTTCCACACAATCATACACTGGTTTCTTTGATTTTGTAGGTGGGCTGAGTGGAACGGGAAGTACCGTGATGATGTTAGAAGATTTATAAAGGTGATGGTAGCGGGAAATTCTAGCCGTTGATATTATCAAAATTATTTAACTTAAAATTCATTAGTACCTTGATATCATCAATTAAATTGTGGAATGTGTTTAAAATGACGAAGCTATATGAAGTTTAAGAACAGGAATTAGTTATAAAAAGTTGATTATATCAGATATAAAATTTTAGTACTTCCAAATTCCTGCCGGAGTTGCTTCATTAATGGCCCATCCTCAGTTTGCTTATATTTGTTGACATTTTACCATTTTTAATACGTAACTCGAGTTGCTTCTTAACATAGCTAACTTTATTCACAGATTTGAACAGAGATCCCCTTTTACTTGAAGTAAAGGAAAGCTCTTTCCGGACACTTGTAACAAAATCCTATGTTCGGTTCTAGGAGTGTGAAGGGGAGAGTAAGGAGAAGGATTGGTGTGATCCCTGATAGGAAGTACATATTCTTGAGTCCATGTTGTTTGGCACCAGGGAGTGGATGGGGAGGGCAATAGAAAAGGATAAATAGTTAATGGAAAGAGAGAAAAAGCTATACCTAATTTACTGCTGAACCTTGCTTTTCCCAGTAGATGAATTTGGATTGAGGTCAATTTAATCATTCTAATCCTTTTATCTCCAGCAGCAGAAATAAAAATGGAGGATGGGTAAGGTATCAGCACTTTTACGTCTCCTACCTTTACCCTTTGCAAACAAGGTGGCTCTTTCTTCTCACCCAAACCAAATAGAGGTTTAAATGTACCATTATGTGGTGTGCACATTAGAATCTATCATTTTTTTTCAAATTGACATGGACTGAGATCTCAAAGAAGCAAAAATAAAAACCAAATAAATATTTGGTCAAGTCCCTTTTAGTAGAAACATAGTTTCACTATAAAGATTACGTTTCCCAATATGTAACCTAACAAGAGTTATTAATTTTAAATCCTAACCAGTCTTCTTGTGAACTCTTATTGTTGAGTTGTTGAATTGAAAAAATGGAAGCATTTAATGGAACTGTGTCACAGTTTATTTTATTTTGTCACTCTTAAATGCTTCAAATTTTGCTATCTATTTTCATGCTAAAACGCTAATTATCATGCAGGGTGACCATGGCATGAAAGGGAGCTTTGCAACTCGGTTCACTGGTTCTGCAGATCTTTACAGGGTAAACACTGTAACTTCGAATGTGAATTTTGGACTTGATGAATTATCACTTTATGATATTTTATTTCCCACCTCTTTGGCAGCCAGTGTAGTGAAGAAATTAATTTTCAAGCTTGACAAACAATAGTTGGTCATCCTTGAATTTAAATTGTTAATGAGAAATATCTTTGCATGCGCTTGAGGAGAAGTGCGGGAAGATTTGACCTTCCTAGCTCATTCAAATCCTAGACAAACTGGGTTTTTTATTTGTTTCTTATTTAGTAGATGTTATATATGTTATGTTCATGTGAGCGAACACTTCACCAAAAATACAGGCGAACCAAAAATGAGCTAAAAATCACTCATGGGAGAAACCTCATAAGCGACCTTAAATACATGATGCGAGCCAATATACTTGAGCAAAAACGTAAGGGATTAAGCTGGTGAATAAAATGTGAACAAGATAACATAATTACTTAGTAACTTAGAAATCATTTGATCAAAGGCTACCACGTCACTAACCAAAAAGACCTATTTACCTCCAATGACTGAATAAAAATCTATAAATAAGCGTGCCTGGGACAAAGAAGATCATGCTGAATTTGAAATCTCTTCCTCCCAAATAGCGATTTCTCTTCTTACTCCCTGTTGAGCAGCAGAACAGTGAGCTTAGGAGGGGAAGACCCTAGCTAGGTGAAAGAAATTTGTTAATCATCATTTAGAGGTCACAGTAAATTCAACCCAGTTTCATTTTCTTTGTACATGTCATTACAGTAAGTCTTTGTAGGGAAAATTACAGTAGATGTTGACAAGGTTGGTTATGGTATTTATCAACACGGAAGATTATGGAAGGTACTAATACCTATAAATTTGGTCTTTCTTTTTGTAATTCTCAAGATAAAAGAATTATAGAGATTATATTCTCCTTCCTATTTCTGTCTCAATTACTTTTACATTATGATTTCCAAAATTGTACCAGATGGAGTTTTAAGATTATCGAATTCCTATCTCTAAGTGAACGGCCTTACCGGACAGTTGGAAGCTTGTTTTCAAACATATACGCATCCACATGCAACCAGCTCCAAGTGTTTCCAATATCGTAATCACTTTACGAATCTAATATATATTCATCAAAGGCTTAACACTTGCACGATTTTCCATAAATGAATAGTAGAAAGACTTGAAACCAAGTCTTTTACATGATCCTGATACCATGCTGGCCACCACCTTATGAGCTTAAGTCGCTGGAGAGGGGACACATTTACACATTTATTTGTTAAATATTTCTTCGACACTTGCTTCAAGATTTCCAATTCTTAGTCATGTCCTGTAGCATGTATTTAACATTTAAAATTGAATTTTGTGATTCAATTTATTAGTCACATGGCATTTCATTAGCATTACTTTATTAATCTTTCTCATGCTCTTATGTTCACCTAAACAATGAGGCATATGCCTTTCCAGGTGGCAAATCTTGTATCATTGAGATTCATTATATGGATTTTTTTATTATTTTATTTTTTTGTGCATGTTGTGTTTTTATTGACTTATTATTTCTAAAAATTGGCCTACAAGTTACTAAAAATGGGAAGTAATTATAATTTATTTTTACTTCAAGAGAGAGATGTAGGCCATTTTGAACTCTTCAGTCAATGACCTTCAAATTAAGTAAACTATAAATGGTAGATCGTTTAATTTATTAATGCTAAGATTTATTTGTCTACGAGGTTGTTGTTCAATGATCATTTGTGATTTTTCTGTAGGTGAACAAGCGCAAGCCCTACCATAGTGTCAATTTTGTTATTGCACATGATGGGTTTACTCTCTACGACCTTGTGTCCTACAATAATAAGGTATATATATAATTCTAATTTCTCTGTGTGTGTGTGTGTGACTATAGAACCCTGAAGATAACATACTATTATTTTTTTCCCTGAAACTGCAGCACAATAATGCCAATGGAGAGGGTGGCAATGATGGAAGCAATGACAATTTTAGCTGGAATTGTGGGTTTGAAGGTAGAATTAGTTACCATCTAAAGGGTGGGATAGGGACAGCTTTATCGTGATGTATTTTCTTGTGCATACTAGCATATATGTTGCCATTGGCTGATATAATGCATAATGATCATATTACTACTAGAAATTGTTTCTTCATGTCCTACAGACCATTGAAATCTGGTCTTCACATGGACGGTTAAGCATCAATTGAACTTGTTGTTTTATGAACGCTAGCATTGGTTGGTGCCTCACTAAATTGCAGAAAACTGAAAATGTTATTCAACATGATTTTGAGCCTATAGCTCTTGGAATTTAGGGTCAGTGTCTAGGTCAACTTAGCAGACTCCTTCTGGAACACTAGTAGTTGCAATTACGTCGCTATAAATTGACAGCCATCTAAATAGGAACTTGTCATATACAGGTGTTAGCAAGCATTAGAAACTGTAAAGATGATTGAGATAGAATAAAAGGAATAGTTTGAAGTGTAGGAGATACATTTATTAAGCTTTATTAGGACGACCTCCAGAGGCATTTATTAAGCATTTCTTAGGAGGAGGACAGAATCGTCCAGTGATTATACGCAGATATAAACCTGCATGCCCTAACAGATTTTATTTTGTTATTTTGGAACAAGTCCCTACAAATTATTGCTGACAGTAACAATGTACTTTGGATAAGCTTATGATGATTTAGTTGTCAGGTTCCCATCACCAGGTCACCCTTTTGACATGCTCTTAGTCAAAACTTAAAGACTTGTGATTGCTTCCCTCTCCGAACTTCAATAGTGAACTATCTAGCTACCAGAGAAATCAGAATTTGTGTTACTATTCTTTTGTTTTGTGATCAGGTGAAACAGAAGATACCAATATTAAGGCACTGCGTTCTCGGCAGATGAAGAACTTTCATTTAGCACTGATGACATCCCAGGTAAACCTGGATAACGATTAGTAAGATACTTCTGAAGTGATTATTTTCTCTTTTGTCTATGATAGGTAACTTTGGCAATCATATTTGAAAGCAGAACTATTTGATATAAAAGTGAAGTATTTGTTAACTGTTATTTTTCGTTAGGACTTTCGATCCATTATGTTTTTACTGTCTTCAAACTTAAGGATATGTATCTTGTGTTTCTAGTCAGCTTTAGGAGAAGGAAAATAGCAGTAATTTATTTCATTCATGGTTCAGCTTATATGGGTGTTTGATTTCAATGTGGAAAACTAAATGAAATATTGAGAAAAATCCTTTTTCTTGTTTGGTGGTGTTGTAGAACGGGTAAAAATTCCATCGCGATAACTATACTTTCACTCTAGTTCGGTTATCTGTACTTCAATTTGGCTAACTATACTTTATTCTAATTTCATTCAGGTAACTACACTTTAATTTGCTTTTGTAACTGTACTTTAATTTGATTTCAATTAAGGTAATTTTGTCCAACTCCGCTAATGATAATTGATGACGTGTCCGACAATAAACGATGGTTATCACAAACCTTAGTTACTCATATAAAATAAGTAAAATTTCATTAAAATAAATGGTAAGCATATTTTATTGATTGTTATGTCCTGGAATTAGACAGACTTACCCGATTGAAATAAAATTAAATGCAGTTATTTAATGGGTAAATAGCACAAATCGTCCTTACCTTTCAATGTCATTGTGCAAAATGTCCATACCTTTCATTTTTTTGTCATTTTCACCCCTACCTTCCATCTTTCATTGTGCAAAAGGTCATTTTCAACCATTTTTTCAATAAAATGATTATTTACCCTTCTATTCAAATGAAACAAAACTAAAAGAAAAGAAAAAATAAACAACTAATTGCAATCATAGTCCTAAATTTTTCAAAATATTACAGATAAGTCCTAAATTCTCCACCACCACCACCACTTTCATAACCCTACCAAGCAGCCACCTATAGATCCACATAGCACCACCTTCTGGTCACCACACTCGTCGGACTCCACCACCACTAGCCTCGCTTCACTCTCCCCAACATCTTCTCCGACAGTATTGGTCTCAAATTCTGTCGAAAACAGCCACATTTGTACCAAAATGCCGTATACAACCCTTCACGGTAACCCCACTTTCAGTGCCACCCACGGTCGCGCACTACTACTGAAGATTATCCCAAACCTCGACGAACATATACATGGCCTCACATCAATCAAACATGCCTCAAGTCATTCTACTGTAATCTAGATGTTCGACAGTAGCAGCGTCCATTTTGCCAAACTCTTCTCCTTTAATTCATGCATCCCACAACCTAAATCCCCAAATTGGCATCAATCGAACCATCAACAAACCAATACGACAATGGGTATGAATCTAATTGAACCAATTATCCCCCCAACCGTTTCAATTTTTGGTCCAAAACTCTCCACGAGCGCGATGCACGGAGAGAGCTGTCTGACCAATCTTCAAATTCGTATGGGGGAGGATGGTGGGGGAGTGAAGCGAGGTTGGTGGTGGTGAAGTCCGATGGGCGTGGTGGCTGAAAGGTGGTGCTATGTGAATCTATAAGTGGCAGCTTGGTAGGTTGTGAAAGTGGTGGTGGTGGAGAATTTATGATTTCTTTGTATTTTTTTAAAAACTTAAGGACTATAGTTGGAGTTGGTTATTCATATTTTTCTTTTTGTTTTATTTGAATATGAGGGTAAAATCATCTTTTATTGAAAAAATGAATAAAAATGACCTTTTGCACAATGAAATATGGAAGATATGGGTGAAAATGCCAAAAAATGAAAGGTATGGACGTATTGCACAATGACATTGAAAGGTAGGGATGTTTTGTGCTATTTACCCTTATTTAATTGAACAAAATTGAAGTATAGTTAACTAATTGAACTAGAGTCAAAAGTCTAGTTTCTGCGAAATGGAATTTACCCTTGTAGAACATGGGGAAACAAATTATTTTTTTATCAATTTTCATGACTTGACAAGAAGTCCTCTACCTTTTGCATTTCTCTCTTAATTTGGCCTTGGATAATGGGTCAGTTGTTTTGAGTATCTCTACTACATGAGATTTATAGCATATTTTTTGGGGATATAACTTTTGTGAAACTTTAATCATCCATTGTTTTATGAAATATACCCATTTTTAGTGTAAAATACGTAGACCCATACTCGAGGTGAAATTAAATAGATGTCAAGAAGAGTGCTGATTTTTCAGTGTTAAATGGAGATTAGGCAGTTTTCATTTATGTATACAGTTTACCTCTTTCTTCGCAATAGCTTTTCTAGAAAATTAAATGAATAGAATAAATTTTGATTCTGATTCAATCTAATAAGTTTTCACAATACAACTAGCCTATTAATAGGCTTAACAATCTAATGCACAAAAAGTTTCAGTAATGCTAAGTTTAAATTCAGAAGACAAATCAGATCACGTTTTGTGTACGCTTTAGAACACGCTATCAGTCAGAAATGCCTTCTTGTTTGTTCAATATTTAGTGCAATTTGTTGATGTGGCAATCAGTTCTCATTTAACATTGACTGTTAATGGAAATTTTCTTGTTTGTTAATTAGGGTACACCAATGATGCTTATGGGGGATGAATATGCGCATACTCGTTATGGAAATAATAACAGCTATGGCCATGATACTGCTATTAATCATTTCCAGTGGGATCGAGTATGCATTTTATAGAAATCTTTTCTTAGATTCTGATTATATCTGTCCTAGATAAAAAATTATTTGGAGGAAAAAATTGATGAAACAGCTGGAATCCAAGAAGAACGACCACTTCAGGTTTTTCTCAGAGGTGATAAAGTTTCGCAACACTCGTGACGTCTTCAGGCGAGAAAATTTTATTGGCAAGGTAAATTTTGTAGCATCTGAACCCCTTATTCAGCCTCTATTATGAAAACATTTTTTCCTCATTTTCTGCCTTCACTTCTTGTTCTGAATAGTTTGTTAAGATACTACTTTCTTTTTCATAACTTGCCTTTCTAGAGGGTCAATGCTGTATTGTAGTGAATTGACGAATCTCGTCCTTCTGTGTGGGTGAGGAGAAACATCTAAGGCTAATTATTAGGTTTCTTTTGTTTTTTACTCACAATAATAATAAGTCGATAGGTTGGCACGATCAATTTTAATGCACTTTATCTTGTGAAAGTCAAACTAGTTAGCTAAGGATTGGGTTCTCTTCCCTAGGTCCCAAATTTAATACCTTCATTTCATTTCTGTAATGACTAAAATGAATTTCTAAACACTTCATTTCAATCAATTTTTTCAAACTACTCTTAATACCCTCAACACGTCTTTTTATGTCAAATAAATGAGAAGTGAAGAACAACCACAAAGTTAGTGTGAAGATATTCTTTTTCGGAAGCTGCACATTAATTGGGTAATAGAACATTAAAAATCAAGAAGCATAGATTTTGGGTCTAATGTGGTGTCACATTGCACAAAATCCAAATGGCTGTCTTGTGGTTGGTTCATGTTTCATACCTAATAGAGGCACATTCAACATATTTATGTGTAGTGACGCATTTTGAGTTCAATGTAGGCTCTTTACATGGTAAAATTGATTGATCTAGGATGAAGGTTAGCATTCTACCTTGCCACTCCATCTAGCATCACTAATGCCTGTAGTATAAAACACCTACTCGCAGGGACGGATCTGGCGGGGGGCTGGACCGGGCTACACCAGCCCATTCAATTTTTTTAGTAGAATTTTTTTATGTAAAAGAAAAATTTCTTGTGTAATTTTATTTTTTTTAACGTATTAGCCCGGCTTGTAATCCGGTCCTGGATCCGTCCCGGCCTACTCGAGTATCTCTTCTTATGGTTGGAAGTACAACTTAAGAGAGAAGAGTTATATTTTTCATCTGTTGACTAACGAAGATCTATATTGTTGGCTGACTTATCCAAGATATGATATGAAATATGGTTTCGGGACAGTTGCAGTGTATTTTTCTTTTGATATTTTCTAAATGTTCATTCAGATGCTTTAAAGTTTAGGGTTAACTTGGTTGCTTTTAAGTCTACAACTGGCTCTTATGAGGTTTATCCAACACTCTTATATTGCAGAAGGAAGTAACGTGGCATGAGGACAACTGGGAAAACCATGAGAGTAAATTCCTTGCATTTACGTAAGAAACAACTCCATATTCTACTGTTGAAATTATAAATCGTATATAATAAACTTGTCTAACTATTACAAAATAAAAGATCCTATTTATTGTTACATCTAGCTCTAAATACGAAAGATTGTGTGATAATCTCACAATCAATTATTAATATAACTCTTACTGTTGAGAATATATCAAGGAGAATAATATTTCCATATCTTCAATGTCTACTCTACAGATTATATATGTACACTAATCATTGATGTGGTAAGGATTATGTGAATGAGCTCTACTTGGTGCATATAATGTTTTCATTTACAAAGACAAATAAACTATTGTCATAATTTTTGCATCAAACCATTAACCTTGGACTTTAGAGTATTCTTTGTGATGAGATTAAAATTGTTTCTTCTTGAAAGTTTGTTTATCTTGCCTTAAAATAAATTTCTCTCATTTATCATACTGCCTATAGTAAAAAAGAAAACGGAAAATGAAAGCCTCAGTTATTGATAGCTGCATTACTTAGTCTTGCAATCAGGCCATGTCCAGGTTGAACCCTATCTGCTTAGATATAACGTGGATACATATATAAACAACCATATAGTTCCTCTCTCCCTCACAAATATGCAGAATCATTTACAGGATTCATGATGAAAATGGAGGAGACATTTACTTGGCATTCAATGCACATGATTTTTTCATTAGAGCTATAATACCGTCTCCACCACAAAGCAAACGCTGGTTTCGAGTGGTTAGTTTTCTACACTCTTAATTCGTTACTAACCAATGGAGTTATTTATAACAACTTTCTTTGTGAGTTCATTGTTTATGTGCTTCAAAATGGTTGTTTATACAGCCGAGGCATCTGTACCAATGTCTTTCTTTTGTGCACATTAAAAATTAAGTCCTGGAATTTCATCTTAAAAAATCAACCTTATTAAGAGGAGTATCCTTAACCCTTATAAATTAGTCTATGTTTTCATCTTTATTCGATATGAGATTTTATCTCTTAACATGCCCTCGTAAGATAGTGCTTCGTCTAAGCAAACTAATTTTAAAATCCATGTGCTCATTTTTTTTAAATCTTAATCGGATCGAATTGCTCGTTGATGCTTAATGGGTTTTGATACCATATTAAGACTTGGGGTTCCATCTTAAAATATCGAACTTGTTAAAAGAAGTAGTCAAAACCCTTATAAATTGGTCTATGCTTTCATCTTTATTTGATGTGAGATTTTGTCACTTAACAAAAAAGCTTGAATCAGAGATTAATGTTGATAAAAATTGGATTTGAGTGATGACTTTAAAATCAGAACTTACCAACCTTACCAAATTTGGATATAGTAACGGCAAGATATTGAAAAATAAATTATAGAATGTCGATGAAATGGACAAAGTAACATAACGGAAGTAAAATTAAAGTTGAGGCATGAGTTGAAATTAAGTCGAACTTACCCCGCAACGATGCCTACGGATCATGGCAATCAACTCTCAAGATACAACGACTATCTTGTGTTTGTAGCATTCCAAAACACAATAACAACGAATCGAAAGATAGGTTTATGTACTCTCTTTGAATGAAATGGAAAAACAGTTTTTATACAGAGTTTTGGCTAGCAAAAGATGAAATTTTATGTTATGATATGATTGCATATCATTGGGATGAAGTAATGGACGCTCTAAATGTCTTATTTATAGAGAATGAGAGGTTGTGAGTGAAGAGACACTCCTCAAAACTGAACATTTGCTAAGGGTTGCAGATTTTGCTCTCACTTGCCCGTCCATTTGCGTCACTCGATCGTCAGAAATGGAAAGCCTGTTTCCAACCATTAACGAGTTTCAAACATTCTACATATCCATATAAATCTTGTTTTCTAATGGATTGGCTGATTATGATTTCAGGTGGACACCAATCTCGAGTCTCCCAATGATTTTGTTTGTGAAGGTGTTGCTGGCATTCAGGACTCGTATAATATTGCTCCTTATTCGTCAATTCTTCTCGAAGCCAAGTAGTAAGCACGCCATCACTTGCTCCTAAATTTGATGAATATATGTTCGATTCTTAACCTGTCTGTGTTGAAAAATCAGATAAACGAGGTGATTTGAGTTTCCATCTTGTTAGGACATTGTATTTTTATTTTTATTTTAATCTCTCTCCTCTGATAAGTTAGTAATAAGACAGTTGGGAGTAATTTTTTTTTTTTTCTGAACCAATTTTGTAGTTCAGAACAGCCCCAGATTTTCCAATCTGGTTTGTTACTCAAATAAATTTCCTTCAATGGAAGATGCACAGCAACTAAACAATTCTCATCGGAGCAGAATCATGAACCAATTAAGAACAGCAATGAACAAATTCAAAGACGCACATTCCATTTGTTTTAGTTAAATGAGTGTTAAACAACGAACAAATATTAAGGAATAGCACGCGAACATGCGAGCAAAAGCCAGCATTTATGTAGTACAAAAGCTCGCAACCAAAAATGGCTAACTGTTTTCATGATGTTCAGCCACTGCAGAAACCGCTGGCCAGGAATACATGATTAAAGGCTCAAAGCATGACTTAAAAGTCGATAAATAACATATGAGCGTATAACGGAATTAGTCAGCAGTCAGTCATTAAATGATCACAACTTGCCTTAACTTCCTCAAGGTCTTAGAAGAAATCTATAAATAGTCCCGTCCAAAATGAAAGAGATGCAAATTTGAATATTTTTCTTTCAAATAGCCATTTTTACTCTTACTCAAGCATCTGGTATAGTGAGATTAGGAGGAGCAAATCCGAATTACGTAAGAGAAATTTGTTTATTATAATATTGTGGTCAACAATGTGTTAAATTGTGACAAGCAAGGAAACCATGTGGCAGATGACTCAACTGACCAAGTTGCCACAACAAGCATTGAAGGTCCAGCTCAATAAGAACAATCTAGAAGGGAAAGAGGATCTAGAAGGCTTCACCATGTGGAGTTTGTTATCTTGTAACAATATTTGATTCTTTACTTTTATTCCCTTTTTGTACCGGTTTTGTAAGTATATATGTGGCTGTATATTCATTCATTTGTAATCCATGAATTATAAGAATATTCAAAACCAAATGATCTGAGCTTCAACTCGTCTGCCTGCATTTGTCATTCTTCATCTTCATTTTATTTCTTTATATGGTATCAGAGCCATTCTAATGGCTGAGCAAAATATCGAAACACAGCCAAATGTTGAAATCCAAGCAGATTCATCGAATGCTAGTGCAAATCAAAACCAAAAACTCAATACTGATTTCAAAAATCTCGAACCTACACATCCAAATAGCCCCTACTTCATAGGAAGCAATGATGGAAATAGGGGTATATTAGTTACTCAAATACTGGAAGCAAACAACTATCATCCCTGGGCTAGATCTGTAAAATGAGCCCTCAGAATTAAAAACAAATTGGGTTTCATTGATGGAACAATTTGTGAACCAACTGATCAAGATGATCCTCTCACTGAGCATTGGCTGAGATGCAACGATATTGTCATTACTTGGCTCCAAAATGCTATGGCAATGGACGTCAGAAGCAGCACTGTCTATGCTGAAACCGCACATCAGCTATGGTTAGAGCTAGAACAGCGTTTTGCGCAACAGAATGCTCCTAGGTTCTATGAGGTCAAGCAGGCCATCATAGTTCTAGTTCAAAGCCAAGACGATGTGAGTACTTATTTCTCCAAGTTTAAGACCCTTCTAGACGAGCTACTAAACTATGAAACCATCCCCAATTGTACTTGTGGAGGTCTGAAGATGGTGGTTGAGAACCAGCAACGAGACTGGGTAATGAAGTTCTTAATGGGATTGAATGAATCATACAAAAACATCAAGGCACAGATTCTACTGATGAAGCCTTTTCCCACTTTGAATGAAGTCTATTCCACTATACAACAGGAAGAGAAAGGGATGCAAATATCAGTAGAAGGATCTGTGAATGATCATCTATCTTTCGTGGCAAGAGGAAACTGGACTGGCAAACAGAGACCTTCACTGCAGAAGAAGGATTACTACTGCACTTTCTGCAAAATTGTAGGACACTCTCTTGAGAGGTCTTTCAAGGCCAATCCTGATAAACTTATATGCTCACATTGTAAGATGCCCGGGCACAAGGTTGATAATTGCTACGAAGTTCATGGACATCCACCAAATCTTAGAAATGAAGGGAAGAGGTTTTTTAAACCAGCTGCAAATCAGGCCACTGTCACCATGCTACCAAGTCAGGAACAAATCAACAAAGCTCAAGTGCCAATGACTCAAGAGCAATATTTCCAACTCATGGCAATCCTCAAACCATCGACCAACCAGGATCAAAACACTGAATCAAACTCAGAAAATACAATTCCAAAAATCTGTGGTACATCATATTGTTTATCATCTGTTAGAACTGATTATGATAAACTCAAAACTCCATGGATACTTGACACTGGTGCAACAGATTATATGATCTGTTCACCATCTCATTTCACCTCCATTAAATCACAAATTAATTGTTGTGTGTCTTTACCAAATGGGAACACCGTTCCTGTTACACAAGTTGGAACCAGCCGAGTCGCAGAAACATTAATCCTATATAATGTCTTATGTGTGCCTTCTTTTGATTTTAATTTGATATATGTTAGAAAACTAACTCTTGATTCACATTGTTGCGTTATCTTCCTTCCTGATTATTGCTACATACAGGACCTTTTAACTTGGACCACGACTGGAATGGGTGAATTGAAGTCAGGTCTCTACCATTTAATGAAGACATCAGTTTCCCCTTCAGCCCTTCAGCAAAGCTTGAATTAATTAATAGAAACTCCAAAGATTGTAGCATCTGTAATCAGCTCCACTGAAACTTTTGATATCTGGCACTATAGATTAGGACATCCATCATTTTCTTTTCCTTCCAACAAAGTCATTCCTAAGGCAGATAGGTTTAAGCCATGCTGTGTTTGCCCTTTAGCCAAAATGCACAAGCTCCCTTTCCCTGTAAGTCAACACAGATCAGAGGAATGCTTTGATTTAATACACATTGATCTTTGGGGACCTTGCAATGAAATGAGTTATGATGGAACACGTTATTTTCTCACTATTGTGGATGATTTCAGCAAGTGCACCTGGGCATACATGCTGAAATCTAAATCTGAAGCATCAAAAGCTTTGCAAATTTTTTACCATATGACAGAAACTCAATTCAAAACCAAAATAAAAATTATTAGATCTGACAATCGTGGGGAATTTAATATGAAAGAATTCTATCTCGAAAAGGGGATCATACACCAAAAATCTTGTGTTGAGACTCCCCAGCAAAATGCCATAGTAGAAAGGAAGCATCAACACATTTTGAAAATTGCAAGAGCCCTAAGATTTCAAAGTGAATTGCCATTAAAGTATTGAAATGAATGTGTTATGACTGCAGTCTACCTCATCAATAGAACACCTTCATCTGTTTTGAACCATAAAAGCCCGTTTAAGATTTTATTTCAAAAAGAACCAGCATACTCTCACCTCAAAGTATTTGGTTGTCTTGCCTTTGCCACCACACTCATGCAAGGCAGGCACAAGTTCGACTCTAGGGCCAAAAAATGTGCATTCCTAGGGTATCCTTTTGGGATTAAAGGGTATAAGCTTATTGACTTACAAATTAATAAAATTTTTGTATCTAGAAATGTAGTCTTTTATGAGACTATCTTTCCTTTCAAAGAAATCAGTGCTGCACAACTCAATTATCCTACTGCCCCTCATATCTTTCAAAATCCAGCAAGTCCTACTTCGAATGATCACATATTCCTTGATTCTAAAGAGTTAAATATTCAACCTGCGCAAAAAAGCATGAGGCGAGGCTTTTGCGCCTGCTTGGCATAGCCGTCGCTTTTCATAACACTGATGATAAAAATATGAAGTTCTGTACTTATTACTTGCAATATCCTTTTCTATGTTAAAAAATTTGTAGATTTTCCGGGCCTACGTAAACATAAACCTAAGAAAAGGCACTAGGATTGTGATTCCATAATTTTTGACCTACTTTAATTCCCAATTAGTCATTTATAATCAATTCTTGTATAAGATGAAAATTAATGATCCAAATATAATAAATAATCTCTCGCGAGGTCAATCAATTTATAATTATATGTGAATTTAATTATTTCTAATTAAATTACGAGCATATAGAGACATAATTCACAATTATTATTATATAATGATTTAATAAATGCTTGATGATATCTCTATTTATTATAGGGCATTATGTTGTTTATTATCATGTGCTAATTTATATCGAATTTCTTAAAAGCAATATAAAGATGTTCACGTTCTAATGGCTACAAGTCTACAACTCCAAAACAGACTAAGAGAATAATAAACAATCAACCCAAAAAGCAAGAATTAAACTATTAAAATGAGCAATAAGTTGATCAAAGAGTTAACAAGCATTCATTAGAATTCTAACAAAGGGTTTAACCTATCATGTTTTGATCACAAAAATACAAGATAAAAGGTGAATACATATCACAATAATTTAAAATAAAAGTTGATCCAACTGTTAATCTTGAATTTCTTCAACAGCGTCGAACGACATCTTTTTCTTCAAAATCTTCAAAGTCTTTTATTGTTATTTTGCTCCAAAATTTTGAATTTTTTTATGCAGAATTCCACTTTTACGAATACTATTTTGTGGTATGAAATTCCCTTTATTTGTCCTAATTTTTTGATGAATTAAGTTATTTGTACAATCCTTGTTGACAACCTTGGTGTTGTCAAAATTCAACTCATGGATTTAAAAAACTATTTTTTAAAATGGATGATCGTGATACTGTCAAGTGTGAAGTTGTCAGCTAAAATTGTCAACCAAGGTTGTACAAGTAACATGATTTTTTATAGTTCTTAAATAGCCTTGAAATTTGTGCCAAAAAGATACCCCAAGTGCCTTTGGATTTGGAAGAAAAGTATAGAAACTCGACTAGAATGCCACCAGTGAGGTCTCGTCCAGTTGAGCTCAGAGGTGTCAAATAG